CTCCATTACAGTGAAGCACAAGCCTTGTTCAGATCAACCTTGCCAATTCAATTATTACTTCAGCCTCTTTGTGCTTTCAACACGCCGCAGATCTCCAACAAATGGCAACAACCCTCACTTCTTATCCCTCTCCGAACCCAAGACACAAAATTGGATTCTACCATCAGCAGTTTCTGATGTCCAGCCATCTCGCAGTTCCTCACCGAGCTCTCATTTCTCTCCTTCCTTGGACCATAAGCTAGTTCAGGCCTAGCATGCGTCTCTGCTAAAACGACCCATCTTCATTCTCTCCGCTTCAATCGCCAAACCCTTTTCAACCATCACACCTCGCATTCAAACTCTTCGATTATCAATGGAAGAACCACATCGAGTGTCCAATTGCAGGTTTCAATCACCGTCCCCAACCTGCGTGAAACAGAGACCCTCCGATTGATGGTGTTCAGAATCTCTCTCTCTGCGTGCCCTCCGAACTCACTCTCCCTCTCTCCAATGCCGATCAGTGAATCATCGGATCTAATGCCCAAGGTGGGTTTCTCAGAGCCCACAAAAAAAATGGAAGCTCCGATTTTCAAGCCCATGTAACTTCTAATGTACAAGAATAGTCACCTTCACCTTACTAATTGCTTCTTTTGTGCCTGCAATATTACTGAGCCTCCCGAAAAAGGCCTATTAAGAGCACTACGCCCACTATGATGAGGACAACAGATAACAAAGGAGAACGCGTGATTTGGGATGAAAATACCCCAAATGGACCACTCCTGCTAAGCGCTGCGATGGAGTTGTTTGCCTCCTTGGACATAACTATTATGTAAGAACAGTGTATCTACAAGATCTTTTTACACTTGAGAGCAACGAACCAACATTCGGAGATCTGGAATGAGTTGGGACTCTGGATCGAATCTGCTATGGATGAGAAGGTTTTGTTTGTTCTGTTCCTGCACAGTTGAAGAGAGAAGAAAAGCTGTCTCATAAATTGTGATTATTTGTGATTATACTACAGCAGCGCATTACTTTCTGATACAAGTGAAGACGCCTGCATAATTCGAAGCCGCCGGAGCGCTCTCTCTCTTTACTCAAGGACACCAATCACTATGTCTACTTTTCAACCCATCATCCACCATTTTTTGCACACCCATACTCTTTTTATTTTAAACCACTCTCCACCACACAAACATGCTCATATGCTTACCCAGCTTCTCTCCACTTTATCACATAGACTTGTCCCTCTCTCCTCCTATCACGTTTGATTTCAAAAATATTTTTATTTGTTTTCTCCAAACTATTTTACACTCTTTAAATACCCACATTTATTTTTCTTTCCCATCATTTCTTTTAAATTTTCTTTCCACCACTCTCTTTTAATATTTCTTTTTAGCATTGCATTACTGAATGATGGCTGATTTTATTCCAAACAAAAAAAAAAACCATTCACAACCAACTCGGTTTTCATTCCACAAACTTGTCATTTTCTTCATGCCGGATCTCAACCCGATCCAATTTTACACCACAACCGAAGAAAAAAAAAAAAAAAAAAAACTTCTCTTTATTCATGTCGGGCTCACCTCGATCCACTTTTACACCACAACCTCAAAAAAAAAAAAAAAAAAAAAAACCAACACCACAACAACAAAGATCACCATCACAACAACAAAAGATTTGTTTTCTTTTCTGCAGACGCCACCCACCGACCTCACTTCTTCGCCTCTTCCGCCGTCTTTTCTTTGCCTCGTCCTGGGCGGCCCTTGACGGTGTTGCCTCCGTGTTTCCCCCACCTACCGACACTTCACTCCCCCTGGCTCCTCCACTGCAGAAGGCATATGGCGACCTCCAAATCGGAAACAGTCACGGTGGCTTCCGCTTCAGCTCCTTGTTTTCCGCTTTTAGCACACATATTTCTGCTCGCGCAGCATCCTTATACATGCGCTGGAGCAGAGAGCCAGTTGGCATTTAACTGCTGCACCTATTTTGTCCTATTTGAACTGGGGCGACAAGTTTGTGACTGCAGTCATGGTCGCTCCACACATGACTTCATGTACTGATTGCCTCAATATCCGATGCGCTGCCATTATTTGCTCCACAAACCGCATAGAAAGGTCAACGGAGCAAAACCAAGGCGCTTGGTTGAGGTTCAAGGGCAACTGCCCGGTTATCTCTCTTGTGGACTCGTTGAGGTCGGGAAAGAGAGTGACAGATCCTCACGGAAGAAGAAGGCCATGTTATGGTTGCTGAGTGTTTCAGATGTTTACAGAGTGTCAGGATTGCAGTTCTTAGAGAAAAGCTC